AAAAAGAGTGAGCATGGAAACATCGCCTCCAAGTCAAGATTCCCACTGGAGTGACTAACACATCTCTCTGTGATTACCTTTCATGTCCTGGAAATAGAAATTTCTGATAGGTAGGGTTCAGAAAGAGTAGGACTATGAACCTAGTGTTACATTGTAAAGTTGACTGCTATACCTCCTCCAGCAATCAGGCCTCTGACTTACAACAAATCTAAATTTTCCCCTGCTGCCACATATGGAAGGAAATGGAAGCTGAGGGGTCAGGATAGAGACCAGCTTGGCCTCTGCTGGGTGACGGGCCAGAGCTAATAGCAGCTGGCAGAGCATCTGGCATGTACTCACTTTATCTCTGCTACAAGAAGGAAGCAAGAATTAGCAGCAGGAACACAATGTCCAGGCCCACAAGGGACCACTGTTCCCATGCCCAGGCAACCCTGAGGAATCAGAGCATGTGACCTACACTCAAGCCAATTGTTGTAGACACTGGAGAAATGTCAGTTAAGTAACTGCCTTGGTGAGGGCACCTCTGTCTAGAATGGCCCAGGTTGTATGGGTCCACAGATGCTCACCTAGGCACAGCCTGCTGAATCTGGAGGCAAGGTATGAGGTTATAGGTATCACAGGAAACAGTAAAGTTTTTCATCTAGGAGGCAATGGTGGAAATTGGTGGTGGTGGTGGTGGTGGTGTAGTGGGGAGAGTCAGATGTTTGTTGAAGTGAATAAGAGAACCAGGTCTGGCTTAGGACTGTTCCCTGCCAGGACTGAAGCAGTCCCCTCTAGCAGCTGTGGGAGAATGGTGATAAACACTATTCCATGCCCACCTAGCTCTCCACACCTTGCCTATGGCTACTGTCCTCAGGCCCAGGGTCTGGTCTGAAATTTACCTCTCTGCTCTACCAAGACAATGGTTCTGGGAAGCATGTGGTGAGGGGCTGGCTCTGAGCAAGCAGAGGACAGGTTATATCAGAACAGGGGACAGAGTGATCAAGATCAGGAACCATGCTAGCTGCATGCTGGGCCAAGCATTTTCCCAGGGCATGAGGCTGTTGTCTGTGTCAGGGTCAGAGATGGCCTATGTCCTTCCCAGCACTATGTCCTGGGACATCACCTACCCTCAACCTTGCCCTCTGCAACACTAAACCTCAGGAAGTGCTCGTTTTGTAAAGACAAAAACCTGCATATGTAAAGGCTTAATTAAAAAATAACTAAATCATATATCTGGAATTATTTCTTCAAATACTAACACAGTAACTCCCTGCATTCGGGCAAATGCCATATAACTATCACCAAGAAGCCTGGAAAGGGAAGGCCAGGCTCTGCCTGACAAACTTCAATTTCCTCCACAATCCTCTGGCTCTAAGATGGGAGGCCCCTGAGGAAAAATGATCTTGGTTCCATCCAAGTGCCCAATTCTTCCTGAGTCTGAGGCTGTAGTAGGCAGAGAAGCAGGAAGTCCCAGATGGAAGCAGGGGGCCCCTGTGGGGTCCCAGCCATGGTCTTGCCTCTTCTGGGCCCTGCTAGGGGGAAATAAGCCTTCCCCTTTCCCCACATTGGGAAGAAGACAACAGGTGAGTCTAGAGGGGGTCTTAGTCTGCCCTCTCCCAGCGTACTCAGGAAAACTTCCTGTCCAACTCCAGATCTTTTCAAAAGATCAGAAAAAAGATCAAAAGATCAGAAAAGGGTGCTCAGAATATACTGACCCAGCATTTCTTTCCCCGTCCCTGGGCCTGGGCTGACTAACCTTCCTCCCCTATAGCTCACTTCCTCCTATACGTCTGCCTCCCCCTGTACCCTGTATACTGCCTCTCTCTAGCACCCATTCCAGTTGTGGGAGGTCAGGGGAGGTGAAAGGAGGAGAGGAAAGGCACTGCACAATGTAGAAAATAGAGGGAAAGGGGGCAAGATGCTAGAGAAGTGTCCTAAAACCATTTCCCCAGGAACTTCAATGTTACAGGTGTCATTCCTCTTTTCTGGAAATAAGCACAGTTTGCTTTACATTTAAAAAACCAGAAAAACAAAATGGAGGACTCCAGTGGCAAGATCATTCAGTGTTTCTGGGATGGGTCTTGTTGGCTTCTCCCTGTGCCTCTGTCTCTCAGGTACATCTAGGGAAACCTAGCTTTCCTGGGTCCAGGAAGCATTCTCTACAGTATCACCAGGCTGTGACCTTGACTCTAGGTCAGAGGTGATATGAGATGAAGGAAGACTCTGTGAAGGGTGAGCCTTGTTTGGTGGAGAGCTCTACCGTCACCATCCCAGATTCCTCAGCAGCTCAGGCTCCAGTTTTCCTATCTCTTCACTCACTGCACCCCTCCCCCAGGCACTGTGGCTCACATCCAATAGCCTGGATGGACAATGGAGGTGCCAGCCTCTCCCTCCAGAGAATGAAGAAGGGCCCCAAGTTGGCAGTCAGCACTGCAGCCTCATTATCTTGTAAAGAGCAGACAGCAGCAAGTACATTCAAACGAACGAATGGCTCATTAGAATTGTGGGGAGTAAAAATATTTTGAAAAGTAAACATTTAACTAAAAGCATATTTTAAATACCAAACACATCAACTGCAAATGTCACCTAGCAAGATGCGCCATGGAGACTGGGTCCCTTTCCCTTTCCCATCCCACAATGGGCAGCCTTCCTCATGTCAGAGCTTCAAGGGGCATCCTCCCCACACAGGTCCTAATTCACAGGCCATGACACAATCCCTCAGCTGCCTCATGGCCCAGGAGGCTCCATGGGCATCTCCCCAGAGGACAGTCCAGAGAACAACTTGAAGCTAACCAAAGTAACAGGAGAGGCCCACAAGAGGCGAGATGGAATCTGGTGATGCTCAGGGAGGACAGTGGAAGGCCAAGAGCTGGGATAAATGCAGGCTGGGATGTAGCATAACAGCCTGGCAGAGACTTCTCTGCTCAGGAGCATCTGTGGGCAGAGCACAGCCGGTGTGACAACACCAGTTGTGAATCACCCTGAGCAGGAGATGGCAGAGTTGGAAGCTGGAACCATTTTCATGCCCTTACTGCAGCAGATGGCACAGAACACCATCTGTACCAGCCCTGCATGTGAGCAGACCCAGGGTGTGTATCTGTACGATGTTCTTCCTCCTGCCCAAGAAACATGGGTTCCATGGGTAGCAAGGGGCTTACGGTGCCCCTACCCACTAGGAAGAACACGTAAGTCCAATCACAGAGGGCTTGGGACACCTTGGGACAGAGCAATCCATGAGCTAGAGCATGGTTGGACTCTTCAGCTATGTGAACAAGGTCCTTGCTTGGCAGGCAGATTGGCCAATCACCACCTACCCAGCAGCTCCAGAGGCTGAGACAGAAACAGGACACATGAGCACCTAGTCTGATTTATGACACCTGAGGTCACAGGATGACAGAATCTGAAACACTTGCAGAAGAGGCCAGTTCACCCCACAAACTGCATGACAAAGCTGTGTGAAAATGCATGTCCTCAGAGGCACACACCAGGAGACCCATTGAACCACCCACAGAGTAGCTTGAAGACTATTCCCAGCCATAGGCAGTTCAGAGCATTTGAAAATGAGATGTGCAAAATGGGGCCTGGGTCACTTTGGGGGTTATGAGTGATTCCTACCAAGGCAGTACCTGTTCTCAATAAACAGAAATGCTCAAGAGAGGCTGCAAAGGTCAATATTCAGGGGCACCAGAGCAGCAGATGCACACGGCAAGACAGTCACCAACCCACAGACAGTGGTTCCAACATGTGTCTATAGAGTGAAAGTGAAGAATGAGCCTAACATTCGAGAGCAAGGACTCACTAAGAGAAGGCTCCATTCTGATCTTAACAAGGAAGAAAGCGGGACTAAGGTCTGGGTGCCTGCCAGAAGGTGCAAACCATGTTTGCGTTTCCAATTTCCAGGTTCCAGAGCATTGCCAATCTCTGCTGACAGTAATTTTCAGTCAAGAAACAATTCAGTTACAACCATGAAAACAAATTTAAATCCTCATCTCATGTATATGTCAAAATAAATTTTAGATGGATGAAATCTTGAGTGAAAAACACTAAATTAGAAATACCCACACAGGAAAAGACAAATGCACACTTATCTGGCTATAGGCTAGGGAATACAACACATGCAACAATGCAATAAATAAATAAGGAAGTAATTCAACAAATTTTGACATAAAATATATAAAATTTCAGAACATGAAAAACTAAAATTGTCATAAAATTAAAAGGTTGAGGAAAAATTTGTAGCAGAAGACAGATGAGGGAAGAATTCATACTTTAAAAACACACACACACACACACACACACACACACATGAGGGACCTCCCTGGTGGCGCAGAGGTTAAAGACAATGCTAGCAAGCTTTTGGCAGCCACTGCAGCACGAGTTTGATCCTTGGCCAGGGAGCTGACCCACATGGGCAATAGACCTCTCGTATCACCCGCTGCGCCCCTTAGCAGTGTATTTCAGACAATCCTCCAGTTCTGCATCCCACTCTGTCTCTGGTGAATCCTCTGACCACCACCCCACACCCTAGCTCTTGTATGCACGAATAAATAAAATAAATCTAAAAAAAAGTAGAACCCACAAACACAGATAATACCCATAGCCACCAAACAAGGGCCTGTTCTTGGCTGGTGGCTTCAGCATCCCCAGGACAACAGGGAGAAGCTAGGCAAGCTGTACCCAGTCACTCATGGTAGGTGTCTAAGTTAAGATCAGCCCCAGCTAACACCTTGGTCAGTCAGCCCCACCACAGGCCTCCCTTAAGCCAGACAGCAAGCCAGTAGCTGGTACCCACATGCACATCATTAGTCAGCCCAGTCAGGGATGGTGATGGATATCATCATGTCCAGTGAAGGCAAGGCTAAGCAGAAGGCTCCCTTGAGCCCAGGGGCTGTGTGCACCCAGGTGAGGTAAGCCAGAAGAACATCCCACCTGCTGCTAGTCCATCCTTGGCAACCATATGACATTCTAATGCCCTTTGTGAGAAGGGTATGTCTCCCAGCCATGCCCAGGTCACTTACCTGTCTTGAAGGTCGATTAGCAGATTCTGACACTCATCCTGTGGGGTCCAGCATCTGAGGGAAGCCAGAGGACACTATATGAGGTCAGCTTGCCAGCCAAGTCCCTTCCAAATGAGGTCAGACTTTTGGCTGGGAACAATGACCCAAACTACCCCAGACAGAACCCTGTAATCAATCTTCAATCCTACAGTGCTCCCCAGGTTCACACACACCCTCATATGCACCATCTTGTCCCCAGTTCAGCAGGACTGTCACATTTACAGTTTATTTTGAGTTCTCATGGAGTCCTTTTGTGAGCCAAACTTTGTTGACCATCCTTCCAAATGACATTGATCAGAGTTATGGGCTGATGGTAATGTTTGCCTTTCCAGAAGACTGGGTATACTTCATTGTGACAAGCAGCCCAGCAGGGTGAACCCACACACCAGTGTCCCACCAGTACATGAAGCAGTCATAGTCCCATATGGTTGTGCCCTGACTCCTGGTCTGTGACTCCCACCTGGACCCCATTCCTGAGTTTGAGATGATCATCTACCTTCCCTGAATTTCCCTGAGGCCTGCCCAGATCCTGTGGCCCTCCTTAAGCAGGCAGCCCCAATCAACAGTCCTCAGGGAACAGAGTTATGCCACATACCTGTAGTCCCTGTGGGGTCAAAGGAACCCTGTAGTTTTCTCTCTCAGCCACTGGTTTGAGGGCATGTGCCCTCTTATATATAAGACTAGGATTTGCCAGAGTGTTCCATAAAATTGAAAATCAGGGAGGGATAGGTAGAAGGAGAAGAGGTGGGTAGCATATGGGAGGTCACCACAAGTGGTGGTAGCTCTCTCCCCTCGGCTCTACCATGTTTTCCAGATTGTTCCCAACCTCTGTCCATTCCTCCTTTGTGGATGTGGCCCATGTGGAGAACCCAGAGGACTGCAGGTGGGAAAGGGGAGGTGACAGAGTTTGGGAAGGCAGAAGGGTGATGGCAAATGGAGAGGCAGGATCTCTGTTCCCAGGGTGCCTTTGTTACTACAGCACGGTATAGATTCTAGGTAAAGCCTAACAGAGCCCTAGGACAGCAGATAGACAGGACAGATGGGAGATATGAAGGCAGAACCAGTGATAGGACTTGTGATAAAGCAAGGGGTACCTATCATGGGGAGGCCTTCTCAACACCTCCAGTGGGGCTTATCTGTAGGCTCTGAGGTCACCAGCCTGGTCAAGGGTCATGACCAGGAGCTTCAGGGCCAAGGAAGTCACCATGGTCTAAGGAGTTCCAAGAGCACCATGCTCTAAGGAGATGGGCTGTTCCCAGGAAGTGGATTAATCTGAGTCTACCCTGGCTATAGGACCCCAATACTTGTTTTTCCTGGAAAATCTACACAGACAGACCTCTAGCCTCAGGGAAGCCTACTGTATTTAGATAAGGCAAAAACCTGGCCTAAACCACAGGGGCCAACAGGTACATAAGAAATCTATGGACATATGGATATCTGACATGAGGCAGTTCCCAGTGGCACAGAGTACAGAAGAAGAATGGGGCTCAGGTTGGGTGGGCTGCTCAGGGCTGCAGAAGGCAATGAAAAGACCAGCTGAGGGTCAGAGAAGCCTGCTTGAGAACTTACTCTCATGTGAACCTCAAGTCACATTAAACACAGTAGATGCTTACATGCTCTTCCAGGCCACTGGTTACTCATGAAAAGTTGCCCATTTCTGCTGCGTTCTCTCATGTAACAGATAAGGATAATGAGGCAGAAAGGTAGAGCCCCATCCTCAGTAGCTATGTCAGAGACCTGGCACCTGGCAGTGGCCAGGCCAGCCCAAGGAGGCCAGACAGGTGTCTGGGGAACACACCTGGGAAAGGCATCTCAACGGTGTGCAGGTTGAGGGCTCCTGCTTCACTGTCTTTGCCCAGGACATGATCAATCATCTCACCATCTAACCCTCAAGCCTTCCTCTACCTGCACCAATGGCGGTGAGGGGCTCTGGGTAGGAAGAAGTATTGCCCCAGGGATCCTTGCAATTCCCCTGCTCTGTACCAAGGATTGGCAGGCTGGAGAAGACAGAGGTCTGGCCTCCCCACTGGGCATCTCAAGAATTGATTCTGCCCTAGTGGGAGGCTGGGTGAAGAGGATCTTACCTACTATAGTGGTGCCTGCTGCCCTCTGCTGGCTGCACATAGCTGGTCACTGCTTTACTGGAGCCCATAGGCCCTTCAGGGTCAGCTGAACCAAGGGGGAAGGGTCTGTGCCTGGGAAAGGGGGGGGGGTGGAGGGGTGATTCAGGTAAATTAGTTTTGAGCTTATCCTTCTACTCTGTAAAACAGGCTAGTCAGAAAGGCCTATAATGGAATTCCTACCTCATATCCCTCTCTGGTTATTCCCTAATTCTGGGGCTCTGAAACCATAGTGGTCTAAGACTTCAACCTAGTCTTTTCTCTCTCTCCCTTTTTTTTTTTTTTTTTTTTTTTGCATAGAAGAACTGGGGTGTAGTGGGAGGTGAGAGTATTCACCAGAGACAGAGTGGAAGCAGAACAGACAGATATATTAAAATACATTGCTAAGGGGAACAGCAGGCAAGACAGGAGAGAGAGGTCTGCTGTGCCATATGTGGGTTAGCTTCTCTGGTCCAGTACAGAACTCAGGCTGTAAAAGTGATAGTGCTGAGTTTAACCCCAGTGAGGTCTTCAACCTAATCTTGATGGAAACTGAGAGCAAAAGAATAAAGGTCTCCCCCGCCTTAAGCCACTACTAGGGAAGTTCCCAGAATATTTTTGTGGTCCCCTCCAGAATCCCACATCCTAACTCCCTACCCATTCCCTCTTCCTACCCCCCAGCCCGGTGTCCTCCTCCTGTTGGGCTTAGGCCAGGCCCAGGCCCAGACCCAGACCAAGGCATGGAACAGATGTTAGCTGAGGCTCTAGAGTGCCTAATGTCCTTGAACTGCTCCAAGCTACTTTACAACCCTGTTTTCTTTTAAAGGCACAGGATCCTGCTGTCTTTGCCCCCACCAGGCCTGCCTTTCTGGGGTGAAGGAAGCACAGTTAACACAACCTGAATCCCTGTGCAGTACAAACAGGGATGGAGGTATAACCCTGCTCACATTAAGTTCTGGAGGTACAGAGAGGCCATAGGACTGGGAAAAGACTTGAGTGGTGGGGTCTTCCTGGTGGCACGAGTAGTTAAGTCTCAACACTGTGAAGCTATTCACAGTCACAGCCACCATGGTATGAGTTCAATCCCCAGCCAGAGAACTGCCCCACATGGTACACCAGACCTCCCTCTCTTGTCTCACCTCCTGCTCCCCTCAGCAGTATATTTCAGTCAATCTGTCTGTCTGCTCCCCAGTGTCTCTGGTGAATCCTCACTACCATCCCCAACCCTGTACTTCTGGCCTGTACCACAGTTCTTGTATGCACAAATACATAAATCTTAAAAAAAGAAAGGACCTGAGTGGCCACCTCTGGAAGGCATGCCAAGCAACCCAGATATGGCAGATTAATTTAGCAGGACTGAGAGCCAGATCCAGCTCATGCAAAATGGATTTTGGTCAATGGGTACTCATGTCTGTGCCTGCAAGAGCAGCCCAGATAGGAAGTGCATGGCAGCGGAGGGCTTCGCTGTGCTCACATGTGCTCCTCACCAGGCCAGGACTAGGGCCTCTAGCACAGACCTATTCTGGTGGACCACAGACTCATATGGGATGAAGTGGCAGGAAAAAGCCTTGGTACTATGGATGGGACAGGGCAATGCCTGGGAAACGTCCTCAAGATTTGTATTTACAACCCTAGACACTATGGCCAGATCTTAGACCTGGAATAGCTGCTCAGGAGCTGACCAAGGACGGAACTCAGGAGAGGGCTCCAACTGTCCCCCGTGTGCAACACAATCCCAGGTCCACAGCTATACTGAACACAAGACAAAATGACATATTCAGAGTGGGCAGTCTTCTGGCATGGTCTGAACCAGAGTGGAGACAGAGGGAGTCACAGAGGAAGTGGAGACTACCAGTGTACCCTGTGCATCCCCATGGCAGGAAGCTGCCTTCAGTGTTACTAAGCTGCTCACCTCCCTCCCTCCCCCTAACCACTGATCCCCCTGGATGTATAAATCCCAACCTTGTGTGTGCCCAGCAAAGGAATGGGAGACAGAGCCAAGAAGTGAGAATGAGGGTAAACAGCCCAGGTTGGTTGAAAACTGGCTGGGCACTTCTTTCTCTTGGTCCTAAATATACCTGAGTCCTAAAGGAAAGTGGTGCTAGGCCACCCCAGCTCCGTTTTCACCCTTACACACTGTGAGTAGGTTAAAAAAAAATGGTTCAATTGTCTATTATTTAATTATCTAAAGATTGCAATGGGGAGTCTGGGAAAGGCAGCCTACCCACCCACGCGCATCTCTGTAAACCCCTGCTGAGGACGAATCCTACCAGAGAGGATGTGCCTCCGTCCCAGCTACAGTCCCGACTGAGGAAGGGGACCGGGTGCGGGCCCGGCAGGGACCCAGGGCGGCGTCTCTTCCCTCGTCCTGTAGGTGGCGGCTGTGGAGCGGGGACATCCCCTCTGTCGGGCAGTGCCCCAGAGCTTACCCTAGGCGCGGCGCCCAGGAAAGTTCCCCAGCCCCGCCGCCCCACGGTTGGAAAGTTTCGGTGGCTGACCCGTCCCCGCTATAAAGTGCTCGGCGTCGCGCGGCGCCGACACGGCAGCGGCGCCCAGCTGCGTCTCAGAGGGGGCGCGCTGTACGGGGCTCCCTAGGCGGGTTGGGCAGGGCCCACGGCCACGCACAAAGGGACCCACCCACGCCGGTCTAGGGTGTCGCGCTGCGCTTCGCCGGCAAGGTGCAGTGGTGTGGAGCAGGGTTCCGATCTCCAGCCCCAAGCCGGTCTCCTGGCTAGACTTCAACTTCCCATTCGACCCTGGCCCCTGCCTAAACCGCAGCCCCCAAACCACCCGCAACAGTGGCCTCGCTTCGTTCCCAAACCCGGCCCCCACCCTGGACCCCGCCCCCGGCTTGAGCTCACCTGGAGCGCGGCGTGGGCGGTACCGCAGCGCGGCCCCAGCTCCTAGACAGGCGCCTTCGGGCCGCTCACTGAGCGTCCCCACTGCACAGTGCCGACGGCAACCCGCCGGGCCTCAACTTGGCCAGGTGCGGGGGCGGACCCTCCACTGTACAGCGCGCAAGCCACTGCCAACCCTCCCCGCCCCTCGCGCGGCCCGTGCGCAAAGCCGGCGGGGCCGGCGCGGCGACCCCCTCTGCTCCGCCCCATTCGACCGCGAATTTTTCTATTGGCCAGGAGATCCGGCGCAGCCCGGCAACCGGTACCGATTGGACGGACTCGGGGAGCTAACGGCTTGCCATTGGGCCTCCGCGGTGTCCATCCAAGTCGGAGACCGGTCTCCTCGTACAGTGGTGGAGGCCCAGGCACCTGCCGGGACCGCTGGTGCGGCGGGGGCTGCGGGACCGCTCGTACTGTCCTGCTTTGAGAACGTTCCTTGACCATCCGGCCCCGAATGAAGGCTGGCAGGCTCGGAGCTTCTTCCTGGAACTCTGACCACGTTTCCACCATTATCAACCTTCGTTCTCAAGTATCTTAATCCAGCGTCTGCGGTTCGCCAGGCGCTACTGGGCGGACACAGCGCCCTCCTATCTACATCAGATTGTATTCCTCACATTACCTGCCAGGGAGAGTTCTGCTGTCATCCCATTTCACATATGGGAAACTGAGGCTCAAAAAAAAAGCCGTTCTCACTTACCTTTGGTTACTGGGACGGGCTCCAGCCCTGTCTTCCTAATTCTGGGACTTGAGAGCTGTCAGCCCCTCACCCACCAAGGGTTTCTGCAGCATGTGCAGAGGTGTGTGTGACCTTAGCTTTGCGAGCCTGGGAGGTATCAGAGGCAGTGTTCTCAATAATAGGAAGGAGCCCCCTCGGTGAACCAGGGGTTTTCCTTTCCTTTATTGTGTTTTCTTGTCCCTGCTATACATGACACATTGACTCCAGCAGTCTTTCAGAATCAGACAGGCCTCACCAATCCTCTGGGGTTGGGCTTGAAGTGACAGCTATTTGGTAATCTGGCACAAGGAAGTTGCTCACAGCTCTGAGCAGACAGAAAGATGAAGTGACCTTCTCTGTCACGCAGGGACCACCCATGACCTAGGAAGCTCTAGTCACATTTCATCAGTGACATTCCGAACCAGCTATTGTGTGGGCTGGGGGCTTCTCTTTACTGTGGAGATTCAGGAGTGTATTTAATTAACCTAGTTGTGCCTATCATCTCCTGAAGAGTATTAAGCCCTGATCCCCGTGGACCCCCTTTTTTCACACTTTGTGGCCTAGCATCACCCTTACCCACACACTTGCTAATGATGGCAAGAAGGACTGTCCCATGAGAAACAAAAGGTTCAACTGTGCACCAAATTGGCCCAAATGAGGATTACCTCCCTCCCCTTTCTCCTGACTTCTCTCTCCCAGCAGGGTTCCAGAGAACTGTCTGTCCTTCAGCTGGAAATTTAGCCACAAAACGGGGGTTCAGTGTAGGTGGTACCAGCTCCAAGAGGACTGTTCAGAAGTAGGCTCACCATGACCCAGGCTGTAAATAAAGGTCAGAAACAGAGACCCAGGGAGATGGCCTTTACCACACCCACAGTCATAAGCACCAGCAACCTCCTCTTTTCCCTCTCTCCCTTGTTGCTAGCCAGTAAGAACATCCCTGGGGCATGTGAGGATAGCTACAAGTGATAAGGAAGAACCTCGCAACAGTTTCACATGTTCAGAGACCAAAAAGGTGGTCAAATGAGTTCCCTGTCTAAGGATATTTGAAATGCAGCCAGAAGAAGGAGGGCTAAAGTACCTACTAGAACCCATCTCACCTGGTCTTACCTGCTCCCAAGTACCAAATGTCACCCAGACTGGAGTGACTGATGACATTTCACTGTTGTCACACTGGTGATAACATAAGAGTGTCTGATCTGGCCTCAGTAAGATGGGGAGATTGTGACTTGGGAAGGGACTGGCAACATATTATCTCTGGCATGTGAGCTTTGAACTCTGTCATGAGTGACTGAATTCCTCTTTGTAGGCAATGGAAAAGTACCTCTCACAAGGACATGTCCAATCCACTCCTCTGAGACATGTAGCCCAGTAGTTTAGGCTATTGCCTCATACTATAGGCCATGGTCACTTATCCAGAGATCCCAAGTCCTGCTTGACCAACACCACACCTTTGGTTGGGCCTGTTGGTCCAGCTGCCTAGAGGGAAATCATTGGCACCAGTCCAATGCAGTTCCATTGTCCAATGGCAGGACGGAGGATCCTGTGCTTGCCTAAATCTGCTACCTGCTGGCCACAAGTACTTGGGCATCTGGGGTCCTCAGTTTTCAAGTTTAGGGGGATGGGGAAAGATACAGGAGGAACACAGATGAGACAGCAAAAGTAGGGGGCAGATAAATTTTGGGAGGTGTCAGGCAGGTTTGGGTTTGACGTTTATCTTTGCCGATTAGCAGTTAGGCCCTGCCCCAGGGCTCTGAGCCCAGGGCATCAGCACTACAGGTTCAGGGTATCAGTAGTTTCAACACTGGGCAATGGAGTTAATCCAGCCATTGCTATGCAATCTTTTTTTGACTTCCAGCAAATGGTAATAAGTCCCCTGAGCCTCTGTGTTTGCATAAAACGGGGTGAGTGAGCACTGTGGTCCAGAATCCTGGGTTTAGAATGCTTAATACATTGTCTTTAATATAACGGTCCTTGTCAGTTTGTTGGGCCCTGAGGCTCTTATTCTACATTTCCCCTGCACTCAAGCCCCAGACACAACCCAGAAATGGTTGAGGGCAGGGAGTTCAGAGAATGTCAGTGCCCTTTCCTGATTTTTTGCTCACCCAGCTCAGGCAGGATCAACCCTTCTTCATTGGGGTCTGAACCTGCACAACTCCCTAGAGGCTATGATATCTGGCATGGGCCCGCCCAGATCCAGCATCTGTCCTGAGTGTGGAAGAAATATCAGGGGGCACTGTAGAGGGGACCAGAAACCAGAAAGGCAGCAGTTGGACTGCCCAAGAGTCAGACATTGGATTGGGTGCAGAGTGAGGGTTGTGTGTGTGTGTGTGTGTGTGTGTGTGTGTGAACCAGAACCCAGCCTGAAACGCTGGTTTGGACTAGCCAGGGAGTGAGGGCCAAGGAGCCCAAGAAGGCCGCAGGGTGCCCTAACGCATGAACAACCCGGAATCTTGGCGCAACTCTTGGGGCGGGGCGCCAGGAACTGCAGCCCTGAGCGACAGCGCGCGCAACCAACAGCGCTCTGGGCTACAGCACGTCGCTCCGCCCTTAGTCTCATGACCCAATGGTAAGCGGGCAGACGGCGAAGGAGCCGGGCTTCGGCGGCGGTGGCAGCGCGCGGGCGCGGCACCCGGAAGTTGGCTGCGGCGGAGGCGGTGAGTGCGTGGCTGGTGGCCGGGCGGGCTGATTCTGCTTCCCAGCTCCTGGCCGGGTTCCGGGGTGCCCAGCCCTGGGGGCTCAGACAGGGAGAGGCGGGGCCACAGCGTCCTCGGGTTCCGTTTCTGAAGGGTGGAACGGAGATCTAGCGACCGGGTCCCGGGACACCAAACCGATCTGGCCGACGAGGTGCCCCACTGGAAGGCGTCTCCAGTGATCCTCTCCGGGATGGTGCGCCAGGGCCTCTGGCAGACAGGGCAGGTCTCTCTTTGGGGAAGCAGACTGGGAGCTGCCTGGTGGGTGGGCAAAGGCAGCAGCGTATCAACTTCTGTCTGCCTGAGTAACAGCAAGTGCTGGGTCATCCGTGCTCCAGGACACCTGGACGTGACCTTCTGGGATGGTTTAGCTAGTTAACATCTATCACTCCCTAGGTCTGCCATCCCAGGGGTATGCGTGTGGGGCTGAACAGGATGGAACAGGGCTGTACCGAGGGTTAGGTCTGGCTCTGCTGCTGGCATTTGAGATCTTTTCCCATCTCCAGCACCTCCTGTTCTTCCTCGTGTCCCTTTGGGCCAAGGCATTAGGGTGAATCTACTGTCCTTGGACCAGTCCCTGTGCTTCAGGACCGTTTTCTCCAGTAGGGATGTCACATGCTCTGCCTAGGTATGACCTGTGTCATCTTGCTTGTGACTTGGCTGCTGCTCTTTGGGCTTTGAGTCCACTTGTGACTTGATGACGCCTTATAGGGGTGCCTACAGCTGGTTAGCACTTTGAAAGTGTTTTCTTGAACATGTTCTGTAACCTTTGTGCAACCTTTTGGAGCAAGTATTCATTCTCCAGACACTATTCACTAGGAGGAAAACTCAGGCTGAGGGGATACAAATGATGCTCCCAAGGTCACTCAGAGCTAGTGCTGGCTCCCAGTGCCTCGTCTCCCTGGGCCTTTTCTCCAGGAGCTTTCCTGCATCAGGGGACGTTTTGGGTGGGATGGGGGCAATTAGAGAAGATGGACACCTGTGGCACGTAGACACAACAGAGCCTGTGCCCCTGCTCCCCCAGGATCCCAGCTCTTCCATGGGATGGGGTAGAATGTTCAGGCATTCCCACCCCTTTAGGCCCCTTACCATTCACCTCAGTCCTGCAGTTTCATGTTACAGACATATCTGTAGACTGCAAGCCCTTCAGACCAAGTCAGTGCCTACTCTGCTGTGTGGTGGTCATAGCCCTTCCCTGAAAAAGACAACTGGGGTCTGTCCTGCCCTGGCTACCTAACCCCTAAACTGTTATTGGCACCTTAAGCTTCCTTGTTGTCTTCATTTTGATCATGTTTCACTGTGGGTGTAACCTTGTGCAGTGTCTTGGGTTTTATTTCTGGTGCCCGGCTTCTACAACAGAGGCAAGCTCGCTGAAGGTGCCTTTGATGCCCAGCCACCTTGGGTATGCTGTATAGAGAGGAGGGACTCCAGAGCATGTCTAGGGAGAAACCACCCAGGGAAATGGAGCTGGGAAGACTTCCAGACATGGGTGGAACTTGTTGACATTCTAGACATGCAAGAACTAGGTCCATCCTTTGCAGTAGCATGCAGAGTCTGGCATTTTTTGGTGGTTTGGTGGTGAACTTCTGAAAACAAAGTTGCCCTGAACCAATACCAATGAGCTGTCCTTTCAGGTTACCAATGCAGCTTTCCCCCCTTTTTTCTTTTTATTTATGCATACAGAACTGGGATACAGGCCAGAGGTATAGGGGCAGTGAGAAGATTCACCAGGACAGAGTGGGGAGCAGAACAGGCAAAATGATGCAGTACACTGCTGAGGGGAGCAGCAGGTGAGACAGGAGAGGTCTGCTGTGCCAGGTGTGTCAGCTCCCTAGCGGGGGTGGGGGGTTGGGGGGGGTAGAACTCCAGCTGAAGCAGCTGCTGCTAGCTTCATAGTGCTGCGCTTTAACCCACTCCACCACCAGGAAGGGCCCCTTTTTTCTTTTTCAACTTCACTTTTTGATTGCAAAGATAATACATGTATGCTTAGAAAAAGTAAAAAAGGGCTGTTCCCATCTTCTGGTGGCTGTTGACACTTCTGTGGTGCATTCATCAGAGTCTTCAGGACCATACTCATTTGAAGCACTGACTTGTTTCCTCTGGGGTGTTGGGGTTGCACCTTCCTCCTTTATAAACTGCCATGTCTGTAGAGGCTACAGAGGCAGGACTCACCCCTGGCTTATAAAAAGCCAATGTTCAGAGGCTACCCTCATGCCTACAAAATAATACTGTTTATGCCCTTATTTGAGCTGTACCTTCACATGGTGAAGGTATGAGGCTGAATTCATGCTCCTAAAACATCTTGAAGACCTTAGTATCAGTGTAGAAAATTTAGCAGAGTGAAATGTTACTTAGCCAAAACAGCAAAGATGTGGAGCCCTCTGTAAAGGAGCAGGAAAGAGGGTGGAGTGTTGCAGTGGGCTGGCTGCTCAGAATATTTACAGACGTCAGGGCTTTCTCAGCCAAGGCTGCTGGAACAGTGACACTGTGTTCCCATGTATGTTTGCCTCCTCAGCTGGGAAGATGTCACATGTCATGCTAAAGAGTAACTAGAGCCTTTCAGCTCTGAAGTGGGTGGGGGACTGCTGCCACAGAGACAGCACAGTCTACCGCATGGGTGATGAGGTGTCTGCTTTCTCAGTTCTGCTTCTTGAAGCCTGTGGGGCCCTATCCTCTGCCTAGCCCCTTAAAGACTCTATGAACAGGCTGGCTAGCTTTAAAGACACTTTCCTCAGTGTGTAAAGTGCTTGGCATAAGGAGACAGAGCCACAGACTAGGATTCATATTGTCTCTGTTCAGAGCATTAACATGGTAGCCTATCGGAGACTGATTTGAACATGAACTAGAAGTTCTGTCTCTCAGGAAAAACACTCATCCTTTTGTTCAGGACATATGGGTGTCCCTGTCATTCTTGCTGTGCAGTCTCACCTGGCGTGTCTCCCCTTAGTCCAAATGCCTTTTCACCTGACAAAGGGAAGTGCAGCCCCTCTTACCTCACTGCCTGTCGGGGACTGTTTGTCCCAGATCACAGATTATTGGGGGGCAGGACAGGCAGGGCCTCAAGGTGGGAGCAGCATCTGCAAGCAGAGATTCCTAGAAAAAGGGGAGAAGGAGAAAAAGAGGAGCAGGCATGAGGAAGACCCGGGAATCAGAGTTGGGTGCAAATCTTCCTGTTCTGGTCTCAGCAGAGGTTTAGTTTATACATTTCCAGCAAGCAAAGTGGGATGACATTAGCATATGAATTGGGCTGAGATCACGATCATCTTTTTTCTAACAGTTTGGAGCCATATTGACCTTTAGCTGAGATTATAACATTATTCTTAAAATCGATCTATTAAGGTTACCATAGGTACATACATAAGTTCATAAAATTTAAGGCTAACATTATATTTATCACAGTGATGATTGGCTAAAATAAAGTCCCTTGTTTTAAACCTCAAGTGCTACTTTATGACCTTCATTCTCATTGAGACATCTTGTCCAGGACTAGGGTAGAGGCTGGGTGGAGATATGAAGAAGGATAAAGTAAGGTGGTGGAGTAATTCTTTTGCAGATCAATCTCAAAGAGATACAGTAAAGTTCCTTAAAGCTGAATAGTTCCTGAATAGAGGATGTAGGTGAAGTTCCTTATTTGAAGACTAAACAATAGAAAACTTAAGTAGTTCTTTAGAAACTGAATAGAAGGATTGAATGAGAGGGTAGAGAGATGAGATTTGGGTTCTCATTGGAGCAGTAAAAGAATTCTGATTATTCTTGTCTTACAAAATTAATTTTGTTATACTTGTTTTTATTAATTAGCCAGTTGTAATATTTTTGATTTCAAGAGGACTTTCCCATCCTGGAGCAGCGCTTGCTTGCCTGAGCCAGGCAGCACCTTATGAGGTTAAAGCAGTCCAGTAGGAAACTGATGGTTGCTTGAAATATTTTGATGATTATACAAAAAAGGGGGGGGGGGTCATAACATGAGCTAGCGTGGAAATTCTGATTTTTCAGAGCATTTCCCCTCCATCCGGAATATGTCAGTTGACAGAGGTTACATAGCTTGTGTCAAATGCCCTCTTGTCAGCTGTGGCTTTGCCACTCGGGGTGGCGCAGGTGCATGGCATTGTCTGTAGCACTCATAGCAGCCAACCTGCTGGTCCTGTTTTGAGGCATTGGAGCCAGGTCTGAATCTGTTTCTGTCTTGTCTCCTAAGAACAGCCTCTTCTTCAACCATTCCTGATTACCCTGCCTCCCCTGCTCACTCCACCATAGGAACATCTCTAAATCAACAGGCAAGGAGGGTGAGGTTTGTCCATTTTGTTCTGATGAGTAGCTTTTGTGGTTTACAATCCATTTTTTTTTTCCCCTGCCTATTCCAAGAGTGCATGTTTTAAGTGTCTGAAAAAGAATAAAGTGTGTAAGTGCCAACTCACATAAGTGCCTTCCCTATCAAGATGTGGAACTATGGCCAGCTCCCAGATTGCTCCTTTTGTCTTCCATTGTCCCCAGGTCAGGCACCGGGAGCCCAGAAAGCAGATCTTCACCGTCAGTCAGAGGGCCTTGGACTGGTCTATCAGGGTGCAAGACTTAAACTCTTGGTGTGGGCCCCGCTGGGCTCTGGCAAGCGTGTGTGTTTTTTTTTCTTGTTGCAGTTTTCTTAGATGCTCTGTGGAGAGTGCCTCAGGGGGGTGTCTTAAATGAAGAGTCTCATCCTTCAAGAGTTTACCTATCTACTTGACTGCTGGGAACAAGCCTGTTGCTTCCTCTGAAAGGCAGGAGAGGAGGAAAGGCCCTGGCTGGGGGGAGGGGAGGTGTGCAGGTAATTTCACAGGCAGTTGGTGAGCTGACAGGATGGAGCATTATCAGCAGATGGGCAGTTTGTGCCTGGAAAGCTTCCAGGCTTTGCAGTCATGTCTGTGAGCTAATAATAACAATAACTGGTATTGAGTTATGACTTATTCTTCTGTTTTGCACTATCACCAGGTGCTTAGACGAGAGGAAAGCAAGAAGTGCCCAAGCTGGAACCTGGGATGCCCTTGACTCTCCTTTTGCTTTGTGCCCCATTCACCCTTCCAGGCAGGGGTTCAAGTGCTGAGGCACTCCAGGTATGGGCTGGATTCGCAGGCCCCCTACTGCATATGGTTACCCTGGATTCAACCAGGCTCCAGTTGGGAGGGCCTAGCAGAGGTGCACACTCAGACTGTCTGAGGCCACCCCAAAGGAGGCTGTGCTTCCTTGGC